ATTCCGATCCACCTCCAGATCAAACTGCTTGTGAATTAACTGAAGTGGAATGGACATGTGCAGTCATTTAAAGAAGGAATGGTTACTAACCTAGTCCATAACTGTTGTTCTTAAATATATGTTGCCAGAGTCTGTCCAGTACAAAGGAATTGAGTGGGTTGGTTATGGCTCTGCACTTTTAGTAGTGAAAGACCACCGAGGGTGTATGCAATTCCCCACCAGGTACTGTTAAGGGAAAAATCTCCCAACAGTGCACTGGACATACACAAACATATACATGTCCATTCCACTTCAACACATGTTGAACAAGTGTTACGAAACAGGTTAGTAACTGTTTCTTCTCATGTTGAATTTATTACACTAGTGCTGTAGACACCATAGATTTCCAGAGCCACCAACTTGTTTTTAATAAGAATTCTAGGTGTTAATCTAAGAAGCCTTAAGGTTTGGATCCTGGCTGCTACTTGTTTTAGATCTGATCCAAAGACCTTTTCTTCCTACTCTGCCTTGCCAGTCATTCACATTAATAACTCTATCACCTGAGATGCTCATTCATAATAGTTTCCACATTTTGAGTTCTGGGAGTGAAGGAGCAGGGATTGGTGTGCAAATTTTCCTTTTTCATCATTGTGAAACGAATAAGTCTACTAGCATCGGGCTGATTGGGCTCTCACAGGATAGATATTGCGGAATTTGGCTTGGTATGCTCGTTGGGAGGCTCTGGACCCTGCAGTTTGTTGACCTTTAGGCCTTGCTGCAGGCTTTGTTTGCTCAGGCTTTTCCTGAGTTAAGTAGTCTGATGGGGTCCAGGATGTGTACGTGTTTCCCCCCCCCCTCCTTCTTTTTGGTTTGGTGTTCTTTTTTGAGGAGTTAGTTGAACTTAGTTACATTCATATTTGATTTTTCAAACTATGGTGAATGTCCTTTAGTCTCTAGGTATACGTGTCTTCCAAATCTAAAATAAAGTAAAATAAAATTCTAGTACACCATTTAGAAATGTGGGCTTCTTAGGAGACTTACAACAAATGTGCATGAATTGCCAGACTCTCATATCATCTCATGCTTATTTATGAGTTACGACCATAATGACCCACACATTCAGGAGATAAAAGACTCCATTGAGAATACTATCACATCAGTTTCAGAACACTACTCAGAGCCTTTTTTAAAGTATCACTAGAATTGTCTACAACCGCTTAGGTACTAAATTGAAGTGACTAAATGGAAATCTATCTTCTTCAATCAATATCCATGCTTAGCCTTATTTATTTTTGTACTCATAGATTTCCATACCTATAAATCTATTTTTTATGGTAATGGTACATGGGGAGTACATCCATCAAGAAATTCCACTTTGATTTGCAGTTAAATAGGTTTTTCTGGACTAACTTCCACCAGCTCATTTTTATGAATATCACCATTGTCTTCAAAGTGTAGTACAAACTGCATATTTACATTTTTGACTGTTAAAATGCTGTTCTTGCACAGTCATAATGAAATCCTTTGAGTTCTCTCTTAAATGGAAGGAGTTGGCTAGATATAAAGTGCAAACTATTGTAATATGGAGCCTACAGATTTACAGAGTTATACTGGATTCACAGACAAACAATAGCATGAAAAATAAGTGAAAACAATGTTATACGGTAGATAGAAGGAAAAGGCTGAGAAGAAAGACCATTTTATTTTGTGCAATATATGTTGCAAATTTCATTGTGGTATGTGTAATATATATGTGTTGTATTGACACACATGCTCAAAATCAAGAATAACTATAAGGAGCATTCTTGATAATTAAGATTAGATTATTTTAGAGTATTAAAGACTTCCAGATGTCCTAAAGGTCTTACGTTGGTTTTACATATGGATATGCCTATGATGGCACTATTTAAAAATTCAATAAGAATGAAAGTTATTTTGTGAAACGAGTATTAAATTCTCTGCTAGGAAGCAGTTTATTTTCTGAACATATAAGTGTTAACCTCTCCTTCAACAAAACTTTCTGAAAAGTAAAATCTACATATGTCATATTCAAAGCATTGAACTAGCACATGGGAATGTGACAGTGGAAGTGATTTAGTCTAATTTCTTAAAGCAGAGAAATGTTCCAAAAATCAAAATACTTAAAAATCCCAAGATTTTGGCCAAATCGTATGTTACCATGTTACTTTTCAGAGTAACATAAATATCCAGTATGTGTACAAATTGATAACCCACTCACTCGTTCTCAATACATTTGCATGCTATTAGGAAAACTGACATTTTAATCAAGTTTTCCCCAGGGCACTGTGACTTGTCTAACAAGGAGAAAAAAAAATTGCTGCATTTTGAAATGTTGAATTGGAAGACATTAAAAAACAATCCCAGAAAACACACATGAATACTTCAATGTAACATTTGAATCATAAAGCAGTAATAAATGTACATATGGAAAAAGTTAGCATCATGTATGTTTTTAAAAGTGGCCTCTTGATTATTGTTCAGGATCACAGAGATAGCCACTGCTGGTTATGGTTCTACAAATACTATCTTTTGGGTGACAACTATACTTTTTGATCATTATATTAATACCAGGTTATCCTTCCCACTGTCCTTGGAACTATTCTTCCTCCTCAGGTAGGAGACATCCTACTCTGTGTATGAATAGTTACTTCTTGACAGTCAAGTTAGGTGTGTATATCACAAAAATTTAATATATGCACATGAAGAAATAAAAATCTTGTGTACAAGTAATATTGGAAACTTAAAATTATAACGAATGCTAAAATATATTTTTGCAACATTTGTGAAATATAGCTTTCATATAAGTTGAACCAACAGAAAAAAGGAACATGTGTTCAAGAATGCAAATGCTATTCACTAGAACATCAGAATTGTTTAAAAACATTTTAAATAAAATCAAACATAGACTCTCATTTATAAATCATAACTATTATAGCTTCCAGGAAAGCAGCTGCAAGCATATTGTCCTTGCACTATCAAGTTGATTATTTATATAGAAACAAAAGTGTGGCTAATAACTATCAATAGTTTAGCTATTGTTTGACCCAATGATCATGCCTGGCATTGTACCCTGTCTTGACACACACACCCAACCCTCTGCCCTTACCCCTCATCACACACCCCAATCCTGACTCCTTCACCCTCCTCCTGCCCTGAGCCCTTTGCATTCCACCCCACACTTAATATTTTATTCAGGTACTGTCATTGCATCCCCTAACACCCTGCACTGAGACCTCCCCAGGATGGTGGCAATACAACAGTACCTGTAAGAAATTTAAGACACTTCCACCCCTATCTTATATCTTTATTTTATATTCCTGGGGGAATTTTGGGCCAACATTTTAAAATTTCTGGATGCAATATTTTAAAATTCTGCATATTTTATTTGTGAAAATAACAATTGAATCATGCAATTTCAATTATTATGGTAATTTATTTCAGAATACATGTTAGCAAATGTGTCTGTATTGTTACAGACAACAAAAAAGATCCACGAAATGCTTTTTGACAAATAGGCATATTTATAGAGAACTTTGAATAATGAGTCATTGAAACTACAGCACAGAAACTTGTATCTTGCCCTCCTGAGAAGCAGTGCAAAGGGCTGGGGAAGTCAGGAGTAATGGAGGAACTGTGGGAGTGGGCAGTAAATTGGTGGTGGTAAACCTGAGTGTGAACTTGGAGGGTTATTTTTATGGTGGCAGGATTGCTAAGGAGCTCCCTCCCATGCAAACCTGGCTGATGTCCCCCCCCCCAAAAAAAAACCCCAACAACTTTCTGTTAGGAACATCTGCCCCACCCTTATGTGTCCCTTCACCTTCACTCAGTCTTCTCCTGTCTCCATTTGTTCATGCACTCTCTGTGCCCTCACTTACCCATTTCTTCCTGCTATATGTCCCTGCACCCCCCTCTGTCACCCCTGCCCTATTCCCATGTGTCCCTGCACTCTTCCCCCTTTCCTCATGTGGCTCTGCAGCTCCATTCCCAGTTCATCCCTTGCCCCAGTCTATCCCCTCACTAGCTCTTCTTAACCCTCGTCTGTGATCTCCCCCAGCAGCCCAATGTACCCCACAATGTCCCCCCCATGTTCCATGCCTCCTAACCTGGCCTCACAGGCAGGGCACTGTGAGGAACACAGCCTCTTCTTTTCCTTAAATGCATGTGGGAGCAACTGCTACATTGCAGTGTAAATCCAGCATGTGAATTCAGGTTCAATCTTAATTTCCTTCTGTGTACATACAAACTGCTGACCCAGGATCCCACAAGGGTGGAGAGTCTGAGCCTGAGTCAAGTCAGGACCAGTGGTTTGAGGCCTACTGCTTTGGAGATAGACACAGCTCCACTGGATTTATGCTCTGGGAGTCATCCAAAAGTGTCCTTCTGGTTGACTTTCTCTGCCCCTGGATAGTCAAGTTTTCCCATGCAGTACCACAAAGAACTATCTAAAGTTGCCACATTTTGGAAGGGCTCTAGGAATCCTGGGATGGATGATTGGACTTGGACCTGCATAATGCAATCAATGTAGATGCTGGAGCCCTAGGTTGGGATCCAGGGTTCAACAATTCCTATTTAGGGGTTGCAAATGATAATAAATACACAAGCCCTAGATAATAAAGCCAGTGTCTGTTAATTCATGTTCTGGGTTTATATTGCAGTGTAGACATATCCACAGTGACTAAACCTGTTGGGCCTTGCCTATGCTACAGCTCTCCCCTGTAACTGTCAGTGGTAGAGTTGTACTACTGTTGATCGGCAGGTCCTACATTTGGCAGTTTAGATAAATCTACTCAGTGTGAGACCGTTCATGAAGAAATATGCAGTAGTTCTGGATTTAATTTAATTTTGTTAAACTGTTACTCTTTTTAAAAAATTAATATAAATGGTTCTCCCCCCTTTTAATCAGATGTACTGATGCACAAGGATACTGTAGGAGTTAACATCTTAACAAAACCTCTCATTGTTCCTAACCTTTAAACTTTTTTTTCCCCTTCCCTTTACAGGAAATGACCTAGAGGCCTTATATATACATTTGTGCATTTTTGCTGCAGACTCTACAGTTGAAGGCAAACTCAATCTGGAGCACCACTTATTAGTGTTACATTGGAAACTACTACCTCATCAAACAGAAGGAGAAGAGAAGGCTTGCAATAATAAACACTCTAGTTTTTAATAACATACACTTGCAAAGTCTTCAGAAAACAAACCCTTTCTTTTCAGTATTAAGAAGAGACACTACAAACAAACTGATTTGACAGACTGGATCTGTCAAGACATGGAAGATATTTGATCTGCTGACATAAGGACTTGGTTTTTCAAGGAAAAAGTCTCTGCACTTCTTTTACAATCACTGTTGACCGGTGATTTTTTTTTTTTTTTGGTTCCACTTTTCCTGGTATTACTAGTTGGAAATCTCCATTAAGGTATTACTTCTAAAAGATGATTTACGTATTATGAACTTTACCATCAGGTGTCAAAAAGTCCTGGCAAGAAAATGGTAGGAGTTAGCTTTCTTCCCTTCATAGTGCATCTTATGTACAGAGTGGAATATTAAATGAAAGCATATTTTTTGAGTTACTTCAGCTTGCTTTTTGAGTACACTTTGTAACTGCAGCAGGGCTGCACTGAACATTGAAAATACTAAGTCAGCAAATCTGCTGCCTTTTTTCTCTGCTGATACAGATTATACAGACGTCTGCCCTTTTGAAATGCCTTTTCTGAAACGTATGTACACAGTCCTCCACTGTTACTATACATAACTACATTTCTGAGGAAGGAATTTGACAACTGATTACTAATCCAAGGAATTTTTGGACAACTACTCACTTATGTATTGCTGTAGTGCACAGGAAAGTAAAATGGACTACAAGCGGCGCTTTTTGCTTGGCGGGTCCAAGCAAAAAGTGCAGCAACACCAGCAGTATCAAATGCCTGAGCTAGGCAGGACCCTGAGCGCACCGTTGGCATCCACTACCCCAACTTCCCCTTTGGTCTCCTCAGCTGCTGCAGGCAGCTGCAACCACCCTGTGTCCCATACTACTCCGATTGCAGACATCCAGCAGGGAATCTCCAAATATCTGGATGCACTCAATGTGTTTTGCCGTGCGAGCACTTTCCTTACAGACCTTTTCAGCAGTGTATTTAGGAACTCACACTATTCAAAGGCAGCTATGCAACTGAAAGACGTGCAGGAACATGTCATGGAAGCAGCGAGTCGACTCACGGCAGCAATAAAACCAGAAATAGCAAAAATGCTGATGGAACTGAGTACTGGAGCTGCAAACTTCAAAGATCAAAAGGAATTCAGCCTACAGGACATAGAGGTAAGTTACCATGGATGATGATATTTTGCATGTGAAGTTCCTTCACCCCGTCTATTTTGCACTTATTATAAGACTGTCCCTCCCATCACTGTACCAAAGGTGTACCATCTTCTACTTTTTATTTTTCTAGAGAATGCTTTCTAAAACAAAGAGGAAATTTATAAGCATTTTTATTTTCAAAATGTCAAAGGAGGAAAACATAGTAAAGAGATTTGCAATGCATAATTTTGTGGTACATATAATTGCATATTGAATAATATTTTTTCCTGTGCCAGGCGTACATTTAAAAAAAGAATTGCATTACAGGTATAAGATGTTTACCAACTAGAAAAAGTAAACTTTGTCTGTTCAGTTACACTAATTTTGAGCTGTACATGAACTGCGTTAAAGTAATTTAAGAAAATATATGACTGCATGCTTTATTTCCCCAACATTATTCTGTCAGGAATAACAAACTGTGATTTATTCATGGAGATTTGTGACTTTTGACAAACTGTTCACATGCATGACTTTTCAGTTCCTGAGAGGTTTAAGGAACTTCAATGACACACAGAGATGCTTATTCATTATTTAGTTTTAAATAATGAATATCCCTATGCAAGTCTCTTGGTTTCCTAACACATAATCAGTAATAAAGCAAAAAATACCAGAAGTCTACAAATAAGTCAAACAGGAATTTATCTAGCCAGCCAGCCACCTAGAAAAAAATGGCTTCTGCTCCCTTCTTCTCCTTGGGAAGCATACCCATAATCTTCTCCAAAAACGGACAGAAAAAAGTAAGAAGATTTTGTAAAAATAGAATTTTGATCTGTAGTCGTCATTAAATGGAGAAAATAATTTGTGATTTAAGAAAAAAAATTAACTATATAAGGTGCCTTAACTTAAAACAGTGTATTTTTAAAATAACCATCCTTAAAATTAATCCTAGAAAGTAGAAAAAGTGTAAACCAATATTTCTAATTACATAATCTCAGAGACAGTATTATATAAATTACATCGCATTTTATTTACTGTTTCTTATTGCCATGGATGGTTGGTAGGAATATGAAAAAGTATTTTTCATAGGTGCTTGACTTAAATTATAATGTATACAAATTAGCCTTTAGTAACAGCGATCTGAACTAATTGAAGACAAAGTTTGGGGCACTGGCATATGAAGTATTGAAAATTTGTTATCTATATTAGAGCTGTTTGTCTACACTATGTAGTTTAACAGTATATACAATTGTTAGTGTTTATTAACCGTCTATTATAGTATTTGGATGAACCAACTTAGGCTAAAAAGAAGCCTTAATGCTTGTATGAGTTTTGTATTACAAAACATGCAGTTGTGTTGATACAAATTAGATCAAAAAGTTGTGCTAAATTTGGGTGTATTGCAGCCAAAAGTTAGAATTGTTGAAGAATGGAATGTTCCACCATAACTTGTATGCATTGTAACACAGTATTAATTGACATGATTGTTACTTTTTAAAAAATGTTGTACACACAATTGTCTCTTTAATCTTAGCATACAACATTTTAATTTAATTTTATGCTTGTATTTATTTCATTATAGTCATTGTCTAGGGCAACAGTCCTGAAAATGTAGGCTAAGGGCGGAAGCTGAAGCCCAAATCCTGCTGCCCAGGGCTGGCATTAGATGTGGGGAGTAAGGCTGCGGCTTCAGCCCTTCACCGCAGAGTTCAATGTACCTCTCTGTTGCCCAGGGCTGAAACACTTGGGCTGTGGATTCAGCCATGTGGGGGTATATGTGTGTTACAGCTATGTAATAATTTTTTGTCAGAAGCGAGTTGTGGTGCAATGAAGTTGGAGACCCATTGGGTTAGATCAGGAGTGGGCAATAATTTTTGATGGGGGAGCCACTCCAAGATTTTGGTAAGTGGTCAAGGGCCACAATTGTCTATAAAGGAGGTATGGGGCCTGGGACAGGCATTGGGTGCAGAAGGGAGTGTGGGGTATGGGACTGTGGTGCAGGAGAAGATGTGGGATCTTAGAGGGAGTTTGGGTAAAGAAGAGAGTTGTGACCTGGGACAGAGGATTGGGGTGCAGGTTCCAGGAAGGGGTATGAGTACAGGAGAGGATTCTTTTCTCGGGGAAGGGTCTGGGAGGGAGTTGAGATGGGGTGGAGGGGTGTGTGGAGTGTTTTGGTGGTGACCTGGGGCAGGGAGTTGGAGTGTGGGAGGGGCAGGGGTGCTAGTGGAAGGCTCTGGCCGGGAGGTGCTTACCTAAATGGCTGCCGGCCAGCAGCCCAGTGGGAATCTCAGGCAAGCTCCTTGTCTGCTACAGCCCCTAGGCTCAGAGTGGTTGGCTGCTCCATGTGCCTCTCTGAAGCAGAGGGAGACTTCACTCACTGCCCCTGTCCCCAGCACAATCTCTTAGCTCGCATTGGCTGGAACAAGCCAGTGGGAGCTGAGAAATTGTGCTGGGGACAGGGAGAGCCAATGAGAACTGGCGAATGGGAGCTGAAATATTGTGCTGGGGGTGGGGGCAGCATGTGAAGCTTTCCTCTTTTTCTCCTCCCACCCAGCACAGAGAGGCAGATGGAGCAACCAGCCACTCTGAGCCCTCAGGCTGCTCCCTTTGTGAGTTTGGTGGGGCAGCCACGGAACTGATCTTGCTCACCCATGGTCTACTCTAGAGCTTTAATAACTCAAAAATATTGTAAGCTACATAGTACTATACATTACCTTTTGACATAGCCTTCTGTAAGTACATATTAGGAGATGAAGCAGTTAACAGTAAAGCTAATTGAGCTGAGAAATCTTGCATGTAATATTTCAGCAAACTTTCACTGCTACTATGGTTTATATAGTTTATTGTACAATCTAAGATTGGTTTACTATGCACTTGTCATATAAACTGTTTTCATGGACTCAGGTTTTCCTGTCACACAGTAGAACACACTGTTGCACATGTCTGTCTAGTATTTTCCACAATCTTATGTTCTTTTGTACTTTTTGAGGAATAGTATTGTGATCATGTAATTAAAGACTACCTCAAAGCTATTGCAAAATTGGGCAAGTTTTCTAAAAGATAAAACAAAGAGAAGCTTCACTCTTCCAGACTTCCGCTCTTCATTCTGTGATCCTGCAAAAAAAATTGGCAGTAAGTGAGAAAATTCCATAATCTAAACAAACAATTCCAGTCGCTACCTGAACACCCTGTCCTACAGACTTTAGAAGTCATTTGGGGAGAATTCCTGATTTGTGAGCCTCAATCTTTGCAATGCTTCTGAATTGTACTAAAGCAGGACTCCCTCTTGCTCACCTTGCACAGTGGTCACCAGCTCTTAGCTACTTGTTTACATTGGACCTCTATAGACTGGACTTCCATTGTGCAGCAACATCTGTGATCTGGCATCCTGGTGGGTACTCTTGGGCTGGGCTGGAGCACTCATGGGGAAAACCTGGGCTTCGTGCTCAGCAGCTCCACCCTATCCAGAGCTTTTGGAGCGCTGCAAATAGCTTACGGAGGAAGAGGGAGGGGGAGGGACCCTGGGGGGAAAGACAGAGTGGCCACAGAACTCCACAGCCTGCAGTCAGAAGCACAACCCTGCATTGGGGACTGGGAGGGCAGTCTAGTGTCCGCAGAGTCAGGTGTGCACTAGTCATACTGTGCTTCTGGCCCCTTCCATGAGGCTCCACAGCCACCCTGCCTTTCCCCAATTACCCCTAGTCCTTGTTTGGTCCCCAGGTTAACGCTGGGCCTTCTGCTGCCACTCGAGTGGAGCCCTGTAGCTGGGGTAGGGTGGGAGGGTAGGAGTGCTGCGGGGCTCCAACTGCAGCAGAGGGGCCGGTGTTAACCTTCCCTTGTCCTGCAAACTCCCTGGTTTGGGACCGGATATGTGCCAAGGGTGTTGGACCAGGGAGATACAACCTGTACCTTAAAAGGTCATCAGAAGTTTTGCTCGTGCTTTAGCTACATGTCACCTGCATTACACTGTTACGTAGCTAAATTAGTACTCATACCCTAGGCCAGCATTTCCCAACTGCTGGGCCACGAACTACTGGCTGCCACAAACTGCTGGCTGCCAGGAGAGGGCAGCTTTGGAGGCCAGGGCTAGGCTACATGGCCCAGTGCCTCCTCTCCTGCTGCGACTGTTGGGAGAGGCATGTCCTACCCTGCACTTCAGCCAAACAGTGCCAGGCAGGATATCTTCTCGGACACTGAAGAGCAGGTTTGCTCTGCGGCAGGTGGGCCACACAAAGTCTGGCACGGCAGCAGTTTTATTTTCAAAATTATTTTCAGGATTTGAAACCCCACTCTTTTGTCCTGTTCTCTCCCGCTCCCTGGGGGAGGACAGGGCACCAAGTAGAAAAACTCGCTGAGCTAGCTGCCTGAGTCCTGCTGATGATTCACTAGCTACCTCTTTAAAAGAAAGGGGGAAGGAAGGAGCAGAGCATGACAGGCACCACTTCCCTCAAGGAGTGGGAGAGTGGTGCATGGTGTTTTAAGAATACAGTACTGCTTTTCCCAGATATAAGGGAGTAATAAAGAGAAGAGCATTCCAGCAGCAGCCTCTGCCTGCTGCCAGCCTCCACCCGCTGCAGGCAGAGGCTGCTTCTCCATAGCCTCCCTACCTCCCTCCCCCCCACTGCCTCTAATAGAGATAGCAAGGGGGGAAGCGAATAGTTGAGTAGTCAAGTACTCATTAGCATCACTAAAAGCAATGCAAGTTGAATTGTCCTGGCTTTTGTGGAAGGGATAATAGCCTTGGTGTATTTTTATCTGGGCTGGTATGTTTTGAGCTCAGAATAGCAGGTGTTGAGGTCACTTTTCAGGTCCTGATTAACATCAGCTGATTTGAGTTGGAATGAAAACAAATGTAGCAGTCATTTCGCCACTCCCACTGTAATAAATTATTCGTCAGAACTCAGATTGCGTAGTCATGATGAGTTATTTACCAGTGTATAAAAAGGGATAATTTCTCCCTTCTTCAGGGGGTAGCTGAGTTAGTCTGGCCCCACATAGTTTAAATTGGAGAGGGGGGGCAGTGT